TCTTATTCATGTAATGTTAAAAAACATTAAAAAAAAACTATCTTATTTAAAGATTTTATTCATTTATTTGAGAGAGAGAAGAGAGGGTGAAGGTGAGGGAGAGAGAGAATCCTTAAGCAGACTCTCCACTGAGTCCAGAGCAAGATGATATGGGGCTCAAGCCCAGGACCCTGAGGTCAGAACCTGAGCCAAAACCAAGAGTTGGATGCGTAACTGACTGAGCCAACCAAGCACCCCAAAATGGTTTTATTTTTAATTAACAAATATATGAGTTCTCATTATATACCCAGGACTACAGTAGCTACTAAACATACAATGAAGAAATAGAACCATGGGTTGGGACCCTATCATCAAACCATAGCGCATAGGTTTACCTTACCATTTACTTAGTACCCAAGTGACCTCGGGTAAGAACAATAGTAATGGTGACAAAAACCAACACGTGTTTGTTAAGCTAGGTTCTACTGTATGTATTTATCTTGTGTAATTCTCCCAATAATAATCCTATGATGTAAGTAACCACTAGTTTCCCCATTTTGCAAATAATGAACTGACCACAGAGAGGATGAGCAACTTGACCAAGGTCAACAGGTTCTGTGCAGACAGTAGGACTCCAGAGCAGTCAGTCCTGTGCTCCAAACTGTTAAACAACAGTCTACACCATACTCATAAATACACTATGCAGGGATGGTTTAAAGATTAGAAATGACATTTGGAAAGAGCTTAGGATAGGAAGCACACAGTAGGTAAAACAAGAAAAAGCACAAGGAGCGCAGCCCAGGTGGCTCAGCGGTTTAGCGCCGTTTTCGGCCCAGGGCGTGACCCTGGAGACCATCGGGCTTCCTTGCATGGAGCCTGCTTCTCCTCCTGCCTGTGTCTCTCATGAATAAATAAAATCTAAAAAAAAAAAAAAAAAAAAAAAAAAAGGCAAACTAACAGAAAGAAACTCTTTACCGCTTAGTCCCAACCCTCTTCCAAAGTCTTAGAACACTAAACTAAGAACTTAGAACACTAAACTTAGAACACTAAACTTCCTCTCTACAAAAAAAAAAAAAAGACCCTTATCTCTTTTCACACCTCCATGAGTCTCATTCTACAGTCACTGCTATTGAGTAGAATCAACATGAGATTTGCAAAAGGAATTTAAAAATTAAGAAAAAAAAATTCTTGATTTCATCACAAAAATGGTAGGGTTAGAATTCTTTTTTCTTTCTTTCTTTTTTTTTTTTAGGTAAACTGCTAGTTTATTGAAATTGCTTAACCTGGTGGTTACAGCTTGTGAAAATAATATGTTGGTGCGCTAGGAATTGGTGATAAAAATCATTCAAAATAATGAATCAGGAGATATTTAAAAGGATACCACACTCCTAAAAACACCAATTTTTATCTTTTAGGAATCAGCGGTTGGAAATATTAATACAAAACAAGATGAGAAAGCTTCTAGAGCCTAACAATTTATTTTTGAAACAATACAATGTGTCAGAATCACTACCATAGTATAAAATACATCTATTCCTACAGTTTTGAGTGCTGTAACCCTTTACTTCCACACACACATTATTTAAGTCAAGCTGAAGGGTTGAGTTCCTGGAAATCACTAACTAATCACTAATCACTGAACTAATCACCTAATCACCTAATCACTAACTAATCACCTAATCACTGAACTCTTGGTAGTTTACAATCATTGAATTTGGAGAACTCAGTAATCTAGCTCAATCCCTTCACCTTAGGAAAGAGGAAAGCAGGGACATAGAGTCACTGATGCGTTCGTTCCAAAGTCAGGAAGTTTGTCAAGACTGGGTTCTTTTCCTCCAGTCAGATGGTCTCCTCACTAGCAGTATTTCTATTCCTCAATCAGTTGCACCGAGCTAGAGAAAACTAAGTTGGATAAGCAGAACATATGGATACGAGGCAAAAAAAAAAAAAAAGTGTAGAAAGGGTGTATAAAGAAAAAAAAAAACATGCTCACTAGGCAAAAGGTTATCTGTCCTATTTTGTTGTATCCCCTACCTAGTGATTTCAAAACCAAGTTCCTCTAAAGAAAAATAAGCGGGACGCCTGGGTGGCTCAGTGATTGAGCGTCTGTCTGCGGCTCAGGGCGTGACCCCAGGGTCCCAGGATCGAGTCCCTGCAGGGAGCCTGCTTCTCATCCCTCTGCCTGTGTCTCTGCCTGTCTTTCTGTGTGTCTCACAAATAAATAAATAAAATCTTTAAAAAAAAAAAGAAAAAATAAGCAAGAGGATGTCCCCTTTTGCATTCTATCAAAAGCAAATTGCTTTACGAAGAAAAGACCTCTTAACAAGTTTTAGGAGCCTGCTTCCCCCTCTGCCTGTGTCTCTGCCTCTCTTTCTGTGTCTCTCAAGAATAAATAAATCTTTAAAAAAAAGAAAAGAAAAAAAAAAGGAAGCAGGAGGATCTCCCCTTTTGCATTCTATCACAGCAAATTCCTTTATGAAGAAAGGACCTCTTAACAAATTTTAGGAGACTGTCATACGGACTCTGGAGCTACTCCCTGCGCTGTTTACCCAAGCACTTCCTTCAGCCGTGGGTCGTTAAAAAAAAAAAAAAAAAAAACTTGGGTCAAAACCCTGGACGCCTTTTTTTAATTTTCCTGGATGCATTTTTGCAAGCAAGAGGAAAAAAAGCTAGGAATGTGAAACCTTTGCTCCCTGGTGCCAAAGCTGCTGCAGGAAAAAAAAAAAAAGACCAATGGGTAAAATGTGCACTCTTCAGTCCTCTCCACCTCTGTGCGTCTCCCCCTCGAAGGGGGAAAGCCGCCTGTTAGCCAGACGGGCCTGCGCCCCGGAGGGGCCGTCCCTCCCGCAGCAGGTCTCCCGCGGAGGCCCCGCCGGCGGGTCTGGGGCGCCGGGCGCAGGGGGCGGGGGGCGGGGCCGCACTTACCGAGAACACGGCGTTCTGGAGCCCGAAAGGTATGGGGGTGAGCCTGGCCAGCGCCACCACCTTGAGGCCGCTCCCCCCCTCCACCACGCGGACCACGGCGCTCAGCCGGTCGCTGCTCTGGATCCTGGCGGCCACCCAGGCGGCGAGCAGGCGCCGGCACACCACGTGGGCGATGAAGGTGCCGATGAGGACGCCCACCACCATCAGCCCCATGCCCAGCACGAAGCCGTACAGGTAGCCGGCCGCCACGTTGAGCACGACGTAGCCCCAGCCGCAGGGGAAGGACACGACGATGAAGCCCACGACGAACAGCAGGACGCCCAGCAGCGAGTCGAGGCTCTCGGCCCAGAGCAGCAGGTGCTGCAGGTAGCGGCGGACCAGCGCCAGGGAGGCGAAGCACAGCGCGGCCAGCACGCACACCAGCGCGGCGCTGCGGCACCAACAGGTGCTGCCCAGGCAGCAGCAGCGCCAGCCCCTCGCCTCCGCCACGCCGCCCAGCGCGCCGCCGCTCCCGGGGCCGCCCGCCGAGGCCCCGCCCGGCGCCGGCAGCTCCGAGGCCGCGGGCGCTCCGGGCCGCTCCAGGCAGGCGCCCAGCAGGACGCCCGAGGCCGCCGCCGCCGCCGCCGCCGCCGCGCCCGCCCCGCCCCCGGCCCCGCCCCCGCCGCCGCCGCCGCCGCCCGCCGCCCGCGGCCCCGCGCGCCCCGGGAGCACCGCGGGCGGCAGGAGCCGGGGCAGCGCCTGCAGCAGCCGCCCGCCGGGGCCCCGCATGCCTCGGCCGCCGCGGGCGCTCAGCCCGCCAGCCCCTCCGCCGCGGCGCCGGCCGGGCGGCGGCCCCTCATGGCGCCCCGGACGCCCTGCCTCGGCTCCCTGCGTCCGCCCCGGGCCGGGGGGCGGGGGGCGGCGGCCAGGGCTCGCGGCGGACGGACGGACCGACCGACCGACTGACCGACCGCCCGGCCCGCAGCGCCTCCGAGTCCGGACCCTGCGCCGGCCGGCCCCGCCCCTTCTCGGCCGGAGGGGGCGGGGCCTCGGCGGGGGCGGGGCCGGCGGCGGCGTGCTGGCCCCGCCCCTCTTGACGCACCGTCGGCGGCTGCTGCGGGGACCCGGCGCGGCGGGGCTGCTGCGGGGCGGGAGGGGGAGGGGAGGGAAGGGGAGGGACGCGGGCTGCGCGGGCGGGGGCCGGCTGGGGGCGGGCTGGGGGCGGGCTGGGGGCCCGGCGCGCTCCCCGCCTCCCTCCCGCGCCGGGCGCGCGCTTCCCCCTGCCCCCGCAACTTTCCCCCTGCCCCCGCCCTCCTCCCCCTCCCCCTCCTCCCGCCCCCTCCCCCCTGCCCCTGCCCCTGCCCCCTCCCCCTCCCCCCTCCTCCCTCAACTACCCTGAGTTCGCACAACTTACCCGAGGCTGTAACAGAGAAAGTGATGGAAACAGGTTTTAAAATCAAAGTTCAGGGATCGTGAAAGGTCAGGAGAAACCGTTACACTAGAGTCCAAGGAAGAGAGGGTCACCAGTGCCCAGTGTCATAAAGGGTCCAAGGTGAAGGGGGGACCAGTAAGTGTCCCTGAGGTAATCCCTCTCCCCCCTCCCCTGCACCTCTCCTCCCTCCCCCTGTTGCCCCCCTCCTGCCTCCCCCTAGCCTCCCCCCTCCTCCCTACCCCCTCCCCCTAGCCCCCTCCTCCCTCTCTGTTCCTTTCCCCCTCCTCCTCCCCCTCCTCCTTCGCTCTGCCTCTCTCCTCCCTATCCCCTCCTCCCTACCCCTGTTCCCCTCCCCCGTCCCCCTCCTCCCTCCCTCTGCCCCCTCCTCCCTCCCTCTAGCCTCCCCCCTCCTCCCTACCCCCGTCCCACTCTTCCCCTCCCCTCTCCCCGTTCCCTTACCCCCTCCCTACCCCCTCTTCCCTCCCTGTTCCCCTACCCCGTCCCCCCTCTCCCTGCCCCTCTCCTCTCCCCTCCCCCCCACCGCCCTCCCCCCTCCCCCTCCTCCCTCCCCCTGCCCCCCTCCTCTCGACCCCAGCCTCCCCTCCCCCTGGCCTCCTCCCCCTCCTCCCTCCCTCCCTGTTCCCCTCCTCCACTCCCCTCCCCCGAGACCCGGTCCCGGCCGCCAGCTGCCCCGGGATCCTGGCCGCCGCCTGTCGCCTGTGGGTCCTTTGCGCAGGAACCTGGTTGGAGCGAGCGGCTTTGGGGACGCTGGCACCCACAGTCCCCCGGGCGGCCCTAGAGGAACAAGAGCTCCTGATGGGCTCTGATGAGAGGGAAGCTCCCCGGGTAGTCCACCCACGTGGTCCTTCAGGCATGGAGAATGGGGTAGAAAGGCCCACCCTTGACCCGATGCCCGCTCTGACCCCAGAGGTCCTTTGATATAAGTGGCTTGATAGTAGGGACACCTGGCCTAGGGACTTCCCAGAAAAAGATCAACGGAGAAACATTTCAAGGATTCCCGCTGTCCAAGGGCTCCTCCAACTCTTTCTGCTGGTGTCTTTTCCGCTTTTTTGCCCTTTTTTAACTTTCGTGTTCCTGGTTGTCTTCTTCTTCCTTTTCAGAGTTGGCTGAGCCATCCCATCCACCCGCATTGCTTTGATCCCACCGTGCCCCCCCCCCCTTTCTCATGACCCTCCAGCCCCACCCCAAGCTGGTCCTTCCCCTTGCACTCCAGCCTGTGGATACACTGCGGGGTTGGTCCTGCCGGAACCTTAAACTTCGCAGGGCTTGGTACACGGTTAGCAGCTTGGGCTCCAATGCAAAACAGATTTAGTAAGGGTGGAAGCAGTCGAGTCATTAATCTCTGAATCTCAGTGTTTGCTTTTAAATTGCAGAATGAAGATAATAGTACACCTTTGCCTCGTAGAATTGTGAGAATTAAAATACAGCTGACCCTTGAACAACAGTGATTGGAACTGCGTGGGTCCACTCATACAAAGATTTTTTTCCATTCTAGTGCAGTACTGTAAATGCATTTTCTCTTCCTTATGATGTGCTTGATAACCTCTTTTCTCAAGCTCACTTTATTATAAGACTATATACCACATAATATACGTACAAAAATGTGTGTTAATCATTTGTTGGTAAGGCTTCCAGTCAACAGTAGGCTATTAGTTGTTAATGTTGGAGGGAGTCAAAAGTTATATAGGGATTTTTGACTGTAGGGATCAGATCCCCACATTTTTCAAGGGTCATCTGTAGAAAAGTTAGATGCAAAAAAAAAAAAAAAGAAACAGAAAGAAAAAAGAAAAGAAAAGTTAGATGCTTGATACTATGCCTGGAATCAGTGTTCAGCTATGTGAAGGTATCCATAATTAAAAGTATCATTCCCCCCAAAAAAATAAATAAAAATAAAATAAAAGTATCATCCCCATACGACCTGCTCTTCCTTTTGAGTTTCTTACTTCATAAGATGACCTTCTACCACTTGCCTGCTGGATCACTGACCAGGACACTTTGGGTCCTCGCTGATCAGGTTCCTGCTTGCTCTTGCACGCCATTCTTCTCAATCCACCTTGGTTTGGCTGAGTCAGGACAAGTGCTTCAGTGATGTCAGACACATGCTTCTTCCTCCTGCCTTTTCCAGCTGCTGTGGTTCAGGTGGAGGAGCAGCTCCCTAGTGCCTTCTCATTTAGCTGAAGTTATACTTCTCTGGAAGCTTCCAACATTACCTTCCCATCAGCACCACACTCAATTTGATGTTTCCTTTCCATTTCTCCACTATTCGCTACATAATTGTCACATTTGCTCATTGTGTTGAAATGTTTGGCCTACATCACTGTCTCTGCCTTTATTTTCTTTTTAAGATTTTATTTATTATTCATGAGATGGAAGGTAAGAGAGAAAGAGACACAGGCAGAGGGAGAAGCAGGCTCCATGGAGGGAGCCCAACGTGGGACTCAATCCCGGGTCTCCAGGACCACGCCCCGGGCTGAAGGCAGCGCTAAACCACTGAGCCACCCAGGCTGCCCTGTCTCTGCCTTTAGACTGAATTTCTTCAAGGTAGGCTCATTACTTATGCACTAAGAAGGAGTAAGGACTCTATAAATGTTTGAGGAATGAATAAATGATCACAGTTTATAGGAAAAGATATTAAGGCAGAAACACCAGACAGGGGACCAACAAAATTGCCTGGGCAAGAATCCATGAAGGGTTGAAGTAGGGTAATGGTCATGGAGTTAGCAGGATGAAAATAAATTAGAGGAGAACATCTGTAGGCCTGGCAACTAACTGGATGGTGGAAGAGAGGGAGGAGTCAAAGATAACACTTGAGTTTATTTGATATAGTGGCTCCATAATGGGACCACTAACCGAGAGAAAGAACACAAAGTTTCTGGGAAAGATAAAGGATTCAGTCTTGGTACTTGAGATTTGAAATATGTATGATATAAGCCAATGGTGTCCTTCCAGTAGGTAGTTGAAAATATGGATAAGGAGTGACAATGGGGCTTCTAGAAATTTTGACATTGGTGCATAGGCAGCAGGTAAAGCCATGGTTGTGGATGAGTGAATGGTGGCAAATGTATCAAAATTTTTCTGTACTCTTTCAGGTACAAGTAGGGTTGCATTTCCTGGGTTCCTTGTCGTTGGAATGAGCCACGTGACACATTCTGCGGCGAATTGTGAGCATAGCATTTAATTGCTGATGCAAGACCTTCCAGAACTCTTTTTTTCTCTTTGCCATGGCAATCAACAATGTTCTAGAGAGTATATGCTCCGTGAGTCTTGGTTTTAGAGGGAGGATGATGCAGAAAAGAGTCCCATTCACCTCATGATGGGTGTTTAAAGTGAGTCAGAAGTCAACACTGGTCATTTTGGGCAACTGAGATTTGAGGGGTCTATTTGCTACCGCAGCAGATCTTTGTCATTTCTGACTGATACGAATGAGAAGGGAAGAATGAAATCTTGAGAACACTGTTGTGTTCATTAGACTATTTTGCATGTAAGAAAGAGAGATCCAGAGACCACCTTAATTAAAAAGGTGAAAGCAGAAGTGTTTATATGGATGTAGATGAGTGGCTAGTAGGAATCCAGGCCCTTCGAAACAGAAGCTGTTCTCTTATTTCTTTCCCATCGGATCTCCCATTTTTTTCTCTACCTCTTTGATCTGTCCTCACATTACTGACTGCTAGTTCTTTTATCCTCTCATCTACATTTCAGAAGCACAGTCTAATTGCAAGACCCTTTATCTCTAAGCCACATCATTAGTGGCCAACCAGTCTGTGGTCAGGCACCCATCCTGACCCAAACAGTGCCACCCCTACAAAACACACCCCCCCACCACCAGCTTGCCTGAACCTGGGAGCTCTGGTCAGGGCAGTGCAAACTATAACAGGATGTTTCCATCCTTGCCTGCTACAACTTATTTTTCGCAGAATTGCTAAAGCTATATTGTACAAATGGAAATTAGATATGCCTTAACTTACACTCTGACCTGCCACCCCAGCCTGTTGCATTAGCAAAAACATCCCAACTGCTTGCCTGGTCTACAAAGCCCTTTATGATCTAGCTTCTTCCAACCAGTCCTACCTCATCTCCTGCTACCCTCCCTCCAGCCATACTGGCCTCCTATCTCTCCCTTGAATAAGCCAACCTGGTGTCAACTTCAGGATGTCTACACTCTGCCCTTACTAATCTCTCTTGTTTGAATACTCTCCCCTAGCTTTTAAAAAGTTTATTATTCTTTCCTCCCTTCTTATTTATTTTAAGTTCTACAGTAGTCTCAGAGATGAAGTCTGCATTAGAGTCTTAGTCCTCCTTTTCTTCAAATATCTGTGATCTCAAATATGTATGGTTATTGCTTTACTGTCTTCCCTAAGAACACCAAAAGCCCCATGAAAGTGGTCATCTTTTCTGTCTTGGGATTCTCTGTATTCTCTAGAATAGTTCCTGGCACATGAAATATTTTTAAATTAATGAAGGAGATGATAGGTAGTGGGCTTGTGACTGGCTGTTTTCTGCTGATCCTCCATCGGGGTTCATTCTCTACTTTTCCCTGCCTTGCTGTGTGTCTCAGGAGGCTGAGCTCTAGAGTTTCCATCATACAGCCTCCTTCATACTCTGGGTTTCCACTAAGGTTTGGACAATGGAAAGCACCAGAAGAATACTAGACGATAGTAGGAGTAAGAAGGGGTCAGCGTATTTACTACACTTTCCCAACCCAGCTTCACTATTTTTGGCAGTGACTGAATTCTCCCATGACCAAAGTTCCTCTATCAAGTTTCCAGCTCCACCTGGCTCTGCCAATGGTTTCCTGATGCTTCACCATCCTCGTAATACTCCCTTGATTAGACTCTTTACTATGGCCTCTGTCACCCACTGGGACCCTGACCTGACTGACAGCTAAGAAGGTCAAAGGCTGATTAGTTCAGTACAACTCACCTGAGTTCACACAACTTATCCAAGGCTGTACAGAGAAAGTGATGGAACCAGGTTTTAAAGTCAAAGTTCAGGAATCATAAAGGTCAGGAGAAATCGTTAGACTGGAAGCCCAAGGAAGAGAGAATATTAAGAAGGAAGGAAGGGTCACCAGTGCCCACTGTTGCAAAGGGTTCAAGGTGAAAGAAGGACCAATAAGTGTCCCTTAGAAAATTTGTTTATTTATTTATTTATTTATTTATTTAAAAAAATTTTTTTAGATAATCTGTTTTAAAAATAGCCACTTACAGGGGTCCTGGGTGGCTCAGTCAAGTAAGCATCTGACTCTTGGCTTCAGCTCAGGACATGAATTTAGGGTCTTGGGATTTAGCCCTGCTTCAGGTTCCCCACTCAGTGGAGAGTCTGCTTGTCCCTCTACCTCTCTGCTCCTCACCCTGTTCACACCAACTCTCTCCCCCTCCCATATATAAATAAATAAATAAATAAATAAACAAACAAACAAACAAACATCTTTTAAAAAATAAAAGTAGCCATTATGGCATTAGGGAAAGTTCTTTCAGTGAAAGGCAAATTTCAGAAGTTTGGGACTATTGGAAAGGTGAGTATAGCAGAGTTTAAATAGCTCTTGTGATGATCCTGAACAGAAAGGAAGGAAGAAAAGGGTGACAGCTAGTAGGGAATGCCAGGGGAGGCAGATGGCGAGATTACGTGATACTCCAGCGTGTTTATTAGTTGAGATGAAGCAGCCTGGGGAGAGAAAAGGGTTGAGAAACAAAGAAAGTGATGAAACCAGGTTCTGAAAAAGATGAGGGGAAAGGATTAGATGTCGGGAAGCAACACTTTCTCTCAGGTTTAAAGGAATGACCAGAAACAAATGCAAATTTGCCAGTGCTGATTTCTAATAATGGAGTCCACCACTGGGGGTTTATTTGGAGAGATGCAAACAGTTTTTCCTCTACCCTTTCGTAGCCTAGGGCATGATTTCCATGAATTTCCCTGATCACAAATAATTTCTCTGGTTTATCTTCTCAGCTCTTTAGGTGTCAGTTATACAGTGGGTACATTTTTCCAGCCTCCTTGTTATAGACTTGCCACTGTGTCTGTCATTTGAATTCTTTTTTTCTTAGTATCTGTGAGGAGAGGGAAGGAGGTAGAAGAGGGAATCCAATCAAGCATTATTAATTAATCACATTTAAATGCAAAATGGTAAGATGCTATTAAAAACTAATTCAATGGTAAATTACTCTGCAAACTCTAAATTATTTTATAATTATGGATTTTACAATATTTCCCAATATTACCTTTACTCAAATGTAAGTACATCCATAATGACAAGTACATTTTGATATGTGGGTATTTTGAATTAATAGTTAAAATTAATTTGCTAGGATTTATTGCTAGGATTTCTTGTTATTCATGCAAATTGTTTCTCATGGACCGTTATGAGTCTTTGCATGATTGTGATGTCTTTATCTTTCTCTACTTCATGTTTACATCTTTGATTGGTAGGTTTTGGGGGAGATTTTAGGGTTCTGGGATCAGAATTAGAATCTGGCTTAATTTGTAATAGAGTTTCAGAAGCCTTGAATTCTTCATGAAACTCTGTGCCAAATGGACACACAGGCCAGGCATCCTTCAGTGACTACTCCTGCAGCCAAAGGAAAGTGTAAGCAATGAATCAAGTAGTAGAATAAGAACAGTTCTGCTCTTCGAGAAGCTCTCCAACTGGCAAGGCAAATACTTTGAACACTACTTTTGGAGCACTTTACAGAAGACAAGTGTCTTCTTTTTTTCAGACTTGCTTAAGATATATAATTTAAATGAGAGTCTGGACCCTGTGTGAGGTGGTTATTTCAGTGTTAACAACTAACTCTTTCTGAATGATATTTAACTTATTTGTTCATCAGAAACCTATTTGGGGATCCATACTTTGCCAGCTGCCTTAAGGATATAAAGATGAACTAAAGATGTTTCCTGCCTTTCAGGAGGGACAGTCTAATTGTGAAGAAGAGAACATTAACTGAGTTACAAAGTATGGGTAATGGCTGCATCACAGTGATGTCAAGAGGTTTGGGATGGCAGGGGCAAGGTAGATGATTCCTGATGGCTGGCCGTTTCCAAAAAGCGTCCTTCCTTCTGTTCCTAGGTTTCCTTAGTTCCAAGAGCTAATGGTGAATATAACCAGTCTTCTTCTCTAACTACCTCTGTCCATGATTACAATTGTGATGGGAAACTCTATAATCTTGTCCAGCCTTGATCCACCATCATTTTGCTTACACACCCGCCCATCCTTTACCTAGTACACATTTTCTTCAGGACTGTATCTCCAGCCTCCCTCTTCTCTTACAGCACTCTTCAATACATATTTGACCCAGAAGAAGTGAGTCTTGGTGAAGGTGTCAGGTCAAAAGTAGTGGAAAAGGGGGGAGCACCCACTCATATCAGCTAAGTAGTTATATAGCTAATTACCAGTCATGGTGAGAAAATGGGAAGTTAAAGGCTAATGCTACAGATAGAACTTCCAGTTCAGAGCAGTCAGAAGATTTAGTGTTTCTAATTTCTATTTTTTTCAATTCTGTGAAAACAAAATATCGAGGTTCAGTTAGAAAACTCTTGTTCATTCATGACAGTGTAGGAAAATGCTAAGCCTTGCGGTTATTATAACTGTTACTAAACGAGTAGATGTACACACAAAGTATTGCTCAGTCTAGACACTACATTGATTAACACGATATAGAATATTAGGAAGACAAATGAATATAAAATATTATTTTTAAAGTTTTGTTTAGAAAGAAAAAAAATTTCAGAATATCCTATTATCAATGACCCTTGCTTCCCAGTATAGAAAATATGATCAGAGACTGATATTATTTCTGTTGACTGAATCTATTATTTTTAGGCATACATACACAGAATTTTATGATTTCCAACATGTATTAAATACTTGTGGCTTTTCAGCTGTTCTCATAAATGAAGATTTATGAAGAAAATATGATTAGAGAATATTTTTTAAAAATTGGATTTGTTTCAAGATTATTTGTTTTAAGTAAGAGTTCCGGAAGAAAGGCATACTCTGCTGACCTCCAGGCATAAAGTGACCCATCTGGCTGATTTTCTTTTGCCTCATCTCTTCATGTCATTCTCTCTCAAATCTGTCCTCCCATTTGAAGAGAAAGAAGAGAGCAATCTCCCTTGGAATAAGAGGATTCATCTTCAGTCAACAGAAAGGAATTTTAAAAAACCA